CTTGGTGAGTGTTGTAGATAGGTTACATGGATCTGCTGTTTGTGTCATAATTTCATGCTAAACATGGCGTCGAAAGTTACACGCATGTCAGAAATAATGTGGGCTTTAAAATCGCTGTGACACCTTGACAGAATGCTCTCCAAGATATCCAGAGCAATTTAACACCCATTAATCTTTTAATTTGAAGTTTACACGATATACGGTTTTTCCATTGGTCGAGAGGTCGGTCACATGACCGCGAAATTGACGTTCATAAGTGTATGAACGACACAATTTGACGTTCATATGTTTATCACGAGACCGTGGGTGCGTTGCAAAGCGCCAATCGCTTGTAAGCGATGTACAGCGATTCGCCTTACAACAGTGCACTAACTTTCAGCCGCTTGCAAGCGAAACAATCGCTGACTGAGGTCGCTTCGTTCTCAAACCAGAATGGCGGCTTACTTTGACAGCGGAACAAGGAATTCTTGACTGGATCAACGAGAAAATGAGCAAAGGTAGCTAACACCCCATCATCCTCAGTCTGCTCCACATCTTCAAAGTAGTCATAAATTTCATCAGCTCGTCATCGAGCCTCTTCTTTTACGTTCTTCTTTACGCGGATGGTCAGGCTCGCTGACATGGTTGATGCATGTCATCGTATCCCAATTACGTGGATAGATGCTCATGACGTCAATCACTGGATTGTCTTGTCCATACTCGATTATTTACAAACCGCCGTCATATAGCTGGAAGATTGCTGAGTGCGGCGTTAAACAACAAACAAACAAACGTCAAGGCAACCAAGCGGTAGTTGTGCCGCCATTTTGGAAGAGTGCGCAAGCGCTTCGAACTGTTGCAGACCCCGGGTTGAGCGATGAATTTGCTTTCTCTAAGCGATTCGTGGCTTGCAACGCGCCCCGTGTTCTTGAAATGACGTAAACACTGACGGACTCCTTCCACATTCTTGGGAGAACATACAAAAGCCTTCTTTCTGATCATTTAGAACCTTAATTCTTGGTCTCAGCGTTTCATATTACATTGAGAAATGTCAGAGAGCGTGACTGCATGATTGTTCACGAATATCCTCGCTAAGGCCTATCTTAATGAACAAACGAAAAAATGCACATCTAACCTATATCGTAGTATCGACTCGACCCGTGTCTAGGCTGACATTGACCGTCTCCAGCAATCTATGAATTTACCTTAGTGTCTGTTTGGCGCATCTTTATTCACCTTTCAATGATCGGCCAGTTGATCAATGATGACTAACACATGTAACCGCCACAGGTTCATTAACAACTTCGGAAATCTCTCCCGTAATGTTTATCGTGTCGGCCATTTTGACGTCTTGTACTTGATGTAAATGTATTACGACGCGCTGTCATTGTGACTGACTTACTGATGTAGTTCTTTACAGACCTTTCTCATCTAATGAGGATATGATTTGCACACATGTGATGCGTAAGATATTTCTGAAGAGCAAGTTGTGTATCCATACGCCCATGTCACCTCTCTATTTGAGGAACTATTTTACTCCGCGATATAGATAGTTGTTGTATGTCTGTCAGTGTAAACATGGAGTCACACGTACTAAATAAAATTGTGTTTAGATCTTGGCCTACATCCTTTGAGGTAAGAAATTGTGATAATTTTTTTGATAAGAATTGACTTTCCCTTTTAGTGAGTTCATTGGAGTATGAACCTTCATAGAGTGAGGGCCAAACATTGTATGAAAGTCGTCGCAATCTCCGACGTTCATACAGTTTGGCCCTCACTCGATGAAGGTTCATACTTCAATGAACTCACACAAAGTGAAGGTCAATTCTTAAATACTATTCCCACCCCCTTCTCAGCTCCCGCAGCATAAACTATCTCCTTATCAGTTTATATACTCATCTCCTCAGCTCTTGCAGCCTTTTCTGAGTGCGGCGTTAAACAACAATCAAACCAACCAACGGTATATGTTATGAAAGTGACCCTTCATTTAATTCTTTTATTAATATATTCCTACATGAACGGCCACCAGCTGTCAAATATGAAGGAGGCGTGACCAAAATACAAATGTCCGATTGACAAAAACAAATTCCGGATCGCTGGTATGCACCCATGTTTGATGGTAGCTGATATGGAAACAAACATGACATGTATTTTTCGATGGTAATGCATTTGGTATGGGTATCAAATTGGATCTTAAGTCAACTTAAGTACATTTCAAGGCGCCAATGTCGGTAATCTGACCGTGGTTGCTGTAAATAAAGAGTTGTGCCAGAGACCAAGGTCTATGGTTGTGCGATCTACCGATCACTTCACACACGATCCCGCCGAAATTAATTTAAACAATATCATAGGCGATATTGGACCTTAAGTTTGCAGTGTTTCGGCGACTTTGTTTCAGCCAAGTAACGTTTTGATAACGTTTGTAATTTGTTGGTCAAATCCAATTGTCAAATGTATATGTTCTTTTGTGTCGCAGCTCATATTAATCTAGGCCTGGTTTAATGTCATTGAAACTGACCCCTCAGAACTTCCTCATTGTAATAGGTTTTGACACAACTTGGAATCGTGCTGTGCGACTTGTAAACCTGCTTACTAACACAACTGACTTCAATCAGTTGATTCTGTTTGAAGCCCAGCTGAAACACGGCTTGTCAAGCTGACCCACAGCGAGGCTCCTTGTGAGTCACGTGATGTTCTACAGCGTACAGGAATGGACGGCGATAGATTAGGTGATATCGACAACTAATGGCTGCAGTGACGATAATTATCCGTTATCGATGCCGAGTCGAATATACAAGCGAGCATTAATGAAAGGAAAGGGATGCCTGTCACAGTGTGTCTGGACGCCGTTATCAAACAACGCTGATATTTAGCTGCACAGACATCCATGGATGTGATCGTTGTTACCTTTAACCTTTGTCTTCCTGAATGGACAGGTGTGGGCAGGTAGGTCCTGATATTGATTCCATCCTCGTTTATCCAGGGTATAATATTATCATGACAAACACCCTGGACCAATTCAACACTTATCTTATAAGTAACTGATATTTTCTCTCTAAAGTTTGTTGTTTTACGCCGCACTCAGCAATATTCCAGCTGTATGACGGCGGTGTGTAAATAATCGAGTCCGGACCAGACAATTCCAGTGATTGACATCATCAGCATCGATCTACGCAATTAGGATACGATGACATGCATCAACCAAGTCAGCGAGCCTGGCCTACCGATCCTGTTAGTCGCCTCTCACGACAAGCATTGTCGCCTTTTACGGCAAGCATGGGTTGCTGAAGACCTGTTCTAACCCGGATCTTCACGGGTATCTTGATTGGACTGCTGTTTTTAGTGTTACGTATTTCGAATCGGACTGGGGGTATTTATCACAATAGATGCAGATGTTATACCCTGGAATGTCGAGGATGGTCGATGATGGATGTTTTTCTTTTATCTGTTATAATAGTTTCAACCTATTTCATAGCTTATGGCAGGAGATAACTTGTAATTCTAATCATATCAGTGGCTAATCAAAATATGCAGCGTGCGCCTTATGAATTATCACATGAGAACATTTCGTTTTAGTTTTAATCACAATCGCTTCCTCGGGTTTACCGACTGATTCAGCTCGTCGTGGATATAGCATGTCTTCTCGGGAGGATGCATGGCAATTGACCATGGTACGATGACAGATAAATATCAATAGTTGGTATCTCAACCTAGGCTGTCGATAGCCGTACATAACGGCAGTCTTGGTACAATAATAATAATAATAATAATAATAATAATAATAATGAATAAAAAGCAACAAAAACATTTCCATAATCATATGAAATCTCTGCTTAAAGACAGAAATGAACAGACACTTATATTTGAAGAAAAAGTCAAACGGAAACATTTTGAACAATTATATAAAGTTCACGACTGCCGCCATAATGTTTTCGTGTTGTGTCATGGGGAAGTCATATGTTTCGGGCGACGAACTTAATTGGTATTCGGGAGAGAAGTTTATACAAAAGGCCCTGGTATGGAGATTATTAGCTACACAATGAATAATGACTGGACTCCGACTCACAGTTTGACTGGGCGCGAGACAGAGCGGCGCTGTGAGGTCATTACGACAGTCATCGACAACTGCAGGGCTCCATGTGTGAACAACTCTGATGCAATATCTGTCACGCGTTCTCCTGCATCCTCGGACTATTGTTCACAGCCACTGAGGGCACATACATGTACCTGCTTACGTTTGTTTCTTAAATAATCTCACGTCAAGCTTAATGAAGGGGGGCACACATATCGTCAACAATGTATGTCTGTGGGGTCACAATACTATAATGATTGACTTTCATCCACAGTTCTTAAGTATTTTTTCAGACTGAATAGATTGTAGATTCTTTATAAAAATAAATTGAACTGAGGTGAAATGGGGTTTAACGTTGCGTTTAAGATTATTTCATCTATAAAGCGACGTGTGCGTGTGTGCGCGCGTGCGTACGTGTGTGTGTGTGTGCTTGTACTAGTCCGGACTTATGCCGGTTTTATAGTGTTATTCCACTGAGATACCATGCTGCAGTTAAACATGAATACCCCACTCAGACAAAGTATACTGACTCCGAACCGACCAGTCCTTGTTTTATCCCGTTGATGCAGTGCGCCAGGCAGGGTAACAACAAGTACCATCTTTTAATGTCTTCATATGGCGGGGTAAAAAAAACCATCCGGACCTTACTCTCTCCGGGTTTTCAAGTTGATCGAGGAGTCTTTGTTTGGTAGTGGGGCGGGCGACGATGATAAGCTAATCATTAATATTTTATGACTTTAAAAGTCAGGTTTCCTGTCAAGGGAAAGGCTACGCACATTACATATATCATCAAACACTGTTTTAAACATTCAGGCATGCACCGTTATGTGGCTCATTTGGAATGGCGCTGAGCTAGACATATAAGTTGGCGGTAAAGATTACAAATAAGCCGCATCAACAGTACTGGAGTATTATGTCACGTGACTGACATTAACTTCCTTTGTTCCAGATTACCAGCGAGTGGGGATGAACGACACAGCGACAACAACTAATTACACAACAACGTCAGGAACAGCGTGTGGATGAAAAACAAGAAACTGTTTTTCTCTTTCTTTTTTCCAAACTCGTTCTGCAAGTATGTGTGTCCTGAAGTGATGTACGATCCTGCTGGAAGATCCGCGGAAAGACACTTCCCTCAGTGGCTGGGCGATGTGATGCTGGGACAGGGGGCTCTCTGCTAGGATCTACTCGGCATTTGTCGCAGTCTTGCTTCAAGATGACAACAAAATATTTCTGTATGACGAACTCTCGGCGTCTAACGTTACGGCGGACAGCGTCCGTCCTCGTCACCTTGTGCTTGCTCTGTTTCCTGCTTCATTCGTGGCTTACTCAGGTACGTCAGCAGGTACGTCACATCGTGCGTCACAGGGTACGTCTCATACATAGGGGCGTTTTGTATGATGTAAGTGACACGTTTTCAGAGAGATCACACACCTAACCACTCATGTAATACAGCAGGTCAGAGTGTTGCCACACACTGTTAGAATGCATACAGTGTTACACTGTTACACTATGTACGATGTTTGACCATGCAAGACACACTTATACACTATGTACGATGTTTGACCATGCAAGACACACTGTTACACTATGTGCGATGTTTGTCCATGCAAGACACACTGTTACACTATGTACGATGTTTGACCATGCAAGACACACTGTTACACTATGTGCGATGTTTGACCATGCAAGACACACTGTTACACTATGTGCGATGTTTGACCATGGAAGACACACTGTTACACTATGTGCGATGTTAGTTCATGCAAGACACACTGTTACACTATGTACAATGTTTGACCATGCAAGACACTCTGCTGCACAATGTACAATGTTTGTTCATGCAAGACACACTGTTACACTATGTACGATGTTTGACCATGCAAGACACACTGTTACACTATGTACGATGTTTGACCATGCAAGACACACTGTTACACTATGTACGATGTTTGACCATGGAAGACACACTGTTACACTATGTGCGATGTTAGTTCATGCAAGACACACTGTTACACTATGTACAATGTTTGTCCGTGCAAGACACACTGTTACACTATGCACGAGGTTTATTCATGCAGGAGACACTGTTACACTATGTCCGATGTTTTTTTCCTGCAGGAGACAATAGTGTTAAACGTGTCATAAAACAGATGAGAAAAGCGTGCCATATCGACCTTCAAAAAACAAAATGTGTCATTTCCATCAACGACTAATTCGTATTTAAGTGATGGGTTGTCCGTCGTCTGTCCGTCGTGCGTTTACATTTCGAGGGGTCCTTACAGGTACCCGAGATGTTCCTCCAACCCGCCCGATCCAAGACTACAAACCGGATGTAATGAGTGAGTGAGTGAGTTGGGTTTAAGGCCGCTTTTAACACTATTACAGTTATATCGCGGCGTGTCAGCTTAATGTGGGAGGAAAGCTCGAAGTGATGCAGGTCTCAGACGTTTACCACTTCGGTGAAACCCAGGAGCACGGGTATGTTGCTGACAAACTTAGTAACATAATCGGTGCGAACCGGGATTCGAACCCACAATCATAGGTTTCTGGCGTGCCCAAGGGACGCAACTCTGCAAAGCGAATCGCGGCGCCTTAGACGACTGGGCCAGCCGTGCCCCCACATACAGGATGTAACATGGAATACAATGTGTTTATTTTCTCTTCGCAGGGCGGTGTTCCAGTTGAGAGACAACCTGATCTGAATTGGCATCTGAACATCCGGACCACCGTACCTCATGCAAATCACTCCGCCCTTCTTAAATTATCCAATCAACAGACGTACATCCTGTCCGCCATCATTCCCGCTGACCAATCAGATACCGCCAACCCTGTTGTCGTCGTGAATGCCTTTGACGGAAGTAACGTCAGGCTCGTCTGCTGTGTTTTAGAAGACGGCCGGAAGTTGCATGTCACGTGGGCTTCAACACTGAGACAGTACCATCATCTCATGTTCTTGAGTACATTGACCGAACTTTTCTACACAGCCCCCTACCCAGCTCGACAAATAGCCTGCCCACTAACGTCACCGGTAGGTAGCGCCACCCACATATCGTTGTCATCAAGCACGTGCAGCACGCACCCAGACCAGTACCAGACGATCGTGCACGTGCCAGAACGTGCAGGGCAGCTCGCAGTGTGTGGGAAGATCGCCTATAGCCACGCCCTGATGCCAGAGCGCCTCGTGGAATGGTTCGAGTTCCAGAGAGTGATGGGTGTGGATATGGTGTTGATATTCACCCTGGATATTACCCGCGATGTGCAGATGGTGTTTGATTTCTATGCCAAACAAGGATTACTGACGACAGTGCCGTATCAACTCCCAGGTGAGCTATATATCATGTGTCATTGAAGTCACGGCATCGTCCCACAAAACCTTAGATATAGTCATCGAACGCTCACCCGAAGCGCTACTTTATCCCACAACGAGGCTGTATACATTATTGTAAGTGGCATTGGGTTTTCTACACATATTGCCAAGTGGTTGTTTGTTTGTTTCATGTTGTTTAACGCCGCACTCAGCATCTCGTGCTCTCTTATTATTATTTGTTTGTTCTTTAACGCTACACTCAGCAATAGCCCAGCTATATGACGGCGGTCTGTAAATAATCGAGTCTGGACCAGACAATCCAGTGATTGACATCATGAGCATCGATTCACACAATTGGGATACGATGACATGCATCAACCAAGTAAGCGAGCCTGGCCACCCGATCCTGTTAGTGGCCTCTTAAGACAAGCACGAGCACAAGAGGGTCATAGTACTTTGATGTATTTTGGTGACGTGTTACTTTAGGTTCCAATTATTTTGATACCGCTCGATGACTTCCTTATTGCTAATTTTACTGCAAGTTTGTATTAAAGTAGTTACGATCAACAAAATATTTTCTTTCCCAAGCTATCATGTCACTGACCTGGAGAGAGAGAAGGGTTGTTATAAATCACCGTGTTACCCAATATTGCATTAGGTGAGGTGAGGTGAAATTGGGTTCAACGTCGCGTCCAAGATTATTGCACTTATATAGCGACGTGCATGCAAGTGTGTCTGGGTGTATGTGTCTGCTTGTACTAGTCCGGACTGATGCCGATTTATAGTGCTAGCTCACTGAGATACCATGCCGCAGTTTAACATGAATACCCCACTCAGACACAGTATACTGACTCCGAGCCGACCAGTCCTTGCTTTAGCCACTTAATGCCGAGCGCCAGACAGGGTAACAACAAGTACCATCTTTTAACGTCTTTTGGCATGACGCGGCCGGGGATCGAACCCCGGACCTTCCGCTCTCCGGGCGGACGCTCTACCACTAGACCACGGAGGCGGTCCAATATTGCATTAGGTTCCTGACAACCTCGGGTAAACCTAGTAACCAGCTCTTCTTCCAAACCAAGGTTTTGAAATGGATCAGACCTGCTTTGAGGTTTTGAATGGATCAACCCTGCTTTGAGGTTTTGAAATAGGTAAAACCTGCTTTGAGGTTTTGAAATAGATCAAACCTGCTTTGGGGTTTTAAAATGGGTCAACCCTGCTTTGAGGTTTTAAAATGGGTCAACCCTGCTTTGAGGTTTTGAATGGATCAGACCTGCTTTGAGGTTTTGAATGGATCAGACCTGCTTTGAGGTTTTGAATGGATCAACCCTGCTTTGAGGTTTTGAAATGGGTAAAACCTGCTTTGAGGTTTTGAAATAGATCAAACCTGCTTTGGGGTTTTAAAATGGGTCAACCCTGCTTTGAGGTTTTGAAATGGGTCAAACCTGCTTTGAGATTTTGAAATGGGTCAAACCTGCTTTGAGGTTTTGAATGGATCAGACCTTCTTTGAGGTTTTGAATGGATCAGACCTGCTTTGAGGTTTTGAAATGGGTCAAACCTGCTTTGAGGTTTTGAAATGGATCAAACCTGCTTTGAGGTTTTGAAATAGATCAAACCTGCTTTGGGGTTTTAAAATGGGTCAACCCTGCTTTGAGGTTTTGAAATGGGTCAAACCTGCTTTGAGGTTTTGAAATGGGTCAAACCTGCTTTGAGGTTTTGAAATGGGTCAAACCTACTTTGAGGTTTTGAAATGGGTCAAACCTGCTTTGAGGTTTTGAAATGGATCAAACCTGCTTTGAGGTTTTAAAATGGGTCAAACCTGCTTTGAGGTTTTGAAATGGCTCAAACATGCTTTGAGGTTTTGAAATGGGTCAAACCTACTTTGAGGTTTTGAAATGGGTAAAACCTGCTTTGAGGTTTTGAAATAGATCAAACCTGCTTTGGGGTTTTGAAATGGGTCAACCCTGCTTTGAGGTTTTGAAATGGGTCAAACCTGCTCCGAGGTTTTGAAATGGGTCAAACCTGCTTTGAGGTTTTGAAATGGATCAAACCTGCTTTGAGGTTTTAAAATGGGTCAAACCTGCTTTGAGGTTTTGAAATGGGTCAAACCTGCTTTGAGATTTTGAAATGGGTCAAACCTGCTTTTGGGTTTTGAAATGGGTCAACCCTGCTTTGAGATTTTGAAATGGGTTAAATCTGCTTTGAGGTTTTGAAATGGGTCAAACCTGCTTTGAGGTTTTGAAATGGGTCAAACCCGCTTTGAGGTTTTACATTTCAACTGTAATACCCAGGTTTTACAATTAATGTTTTACAAAACTTGCCTCTTGATATGAACACAATTGTGTTTGATGACTGGTTGAAAGGCACATTTATTTATTACATAAAAATTCCATGACGTGAAACGAACCTGCAACCTCACATATCGTTCTGTTCTGTAACCTACTGTTTTCCCACTGAGCAACCTGCGCATGTGTTGAGAAGTTCTAGTTATCATGTCATTGCCCCAGCGAGTCCATATTGCACGTGTTTTTTCTCTCGCACGCTTTGGTCGAATTCCGTTTATACCGCGACACAGTGTATTGTTTCACTATAAGGTATGTCGATGTTTTCTTATTTTTTTCGGGTATTTCTTGAATTAAGACGGTTCTATGTTCGATCAAAGTCGACTCCTCGGTTTTGGTTGAAAATGTCAAACAGCGAGCGAGGGTAAGGCCCGTGGCGTGTTTTATCCTATTCTTATAAAAAAAACCATGCATCATACAGATTACTGCGAAATACGCTTAATGTCGGAAAGCGCATGTTAAATCTGCAATTGTAAGTAAGTTAGATTACTTGTTATTTGGGACATTACGCCGCCGCTGGCGCTGTTAGATAATTGCCTTTGTTGAGCGTAGGGCCAGGGTGCATTGTTGATTGATGAGTGTAATTTGTTCACTCAACCTCGTCAGTGAAAAAATCATATTCGTCCCGTCAAATGTCAATATATGATCTGTCTTCCCGTCGTAAGAGGCGACTAACCGGATCGGGTGGTCAAGCTCGCTGACTTGGTTGATGCATGTCATCGTATCCCAGTTGCGTGGATTGATGATCATGATGTCAATCACTGGATTGTCTGGTCCAGACTCGATTATTTACTGACCGCCCTCTTATTGCTGGAATATTGCTGAGTGCGGCGTTTAACAACATGAAACAAACAACCAACCTCTTGGCAATATGTGTAGAAAACCGAATGACGCTTGATGCATGTCATCGTATCCCAACTGCGTTGATCGATGCTCATGACGTCAATCTAACATCAGACCCGCTTGAACAGGTGTCAGTTATATTGTGTTCTCTAATTCGTCAGTCTTGTTCTGTTCTCTAACCCGTGTGTCATGTTGTGTCTGCTTGTAGGTCATCTGGAGAGGAGTTTCCGGAAGGGCAACCGATCTTTCCCTCAATTCAGTCACGATGAACAACTGGCCATCTTTGACTGCCGCGAGAGGCTGTCGGGATATAGTCACGTGGCCGGGATTGACCTTGACGAAATCATTGTACCAAGGTCAGGCCAGACTCTAAAGCAGTTGTTGAAGGTAGGATGTTTAAAGGAAACAAATGATAATTACAGTTGATGAAGTTTATGTCGACGGGGTTTGGCTGTACAGCGAACTTAAAATGTTTAATCTGGTGCATACGGTTGAGTGAGTGAGTGAATTGGGTTTAACGCCGCTTTTAACAGTATTCCAGTTATATCACGGCGTGTCAGCTTAATGTGGGAGGAAAGCCCGAAGTGATGCAGGTCTCAGACGTTTACCACTACGGTGAAACCCACGTGCACGGGTATGGTGCTGACAAACCTAGAAACATAATCGGGGCGAACTGGGATTCGAACCCACGGTCATAGGTTTCTGGTGTGTCCAAGGGACGCAACTCTGCACAGCGAATCGCGGGGCCTTAGACGACTGGGCCACCCGTGCCCCCCACACGGTTGAAGTATATCTTTTGTTATGAAGACTGCATTGTAATTGAGACACGCTTGGAGTCTTACGTAAATAAGGATAGTGTCCACGACATTGTGACATGGCGTGGTATAACTGAAATACTGCTCAAAGCGCAGTAAAACCTAGCTCTCTCGGTTAGGACATTCTTAAACTATTGCGAATAGATTCACGATTTATAGATGAAGGTTGACACCTATTGTAGTATTTTTGTTTTGCTTTTGTTAGTTGTAACACATGTTATATTTGGGATAACATTTCCTTGGTTAAGTACAGATTCTAGTACTTTTTGGGGTCGAGTCCCATCCGTGATTCGAACCCACACTGCCAGAGTGAGGCACCTAATCGCCAGCACACAAAGTCAGCGATCTAACCCAATCAGCTGCCCAAGGCTTCCACAAAAATGAAAATTCGACAACTGGTAGTCTTTTGTTGGTTGTTTAAGGCGGCATTAAGCAATATTCCAGCTCTCTGACGTCTGTAATGTAAATATGATCGCAATAAATAGATCATACGCGAAGTAACTGACAAATATCTTTAATTACAGAACTCCCTGTCAAAACAGCATCCTGACGCTGGCGCATACTACTTCTATCAACAATTTCACATCACTGACTGGGGTCCGTCTCATCCGAACAACACGCTGACCACCATGCGCTTCTTACAGACGGACCCTCCGCGGTGGGAGTCGCAGAAATTTGTCTACATTCCTGACCGGACAACTTATGGCCGTACGCACGAAGTGTTCGTTAAGTCAGGGTACTCAACGTACGTATGACAGGTTCAGTACATACAAGCAACTTCCGGTTGCAAATAGGAACTGGAAACAATGGTCACGTGTCCTACATGCTGTACTGTAATAAGCTGGTTCCCGGCTCCCGATGCGCGTCGTCAACTTGCGCCATTGTGATATTAGAGACGGGGCCCAGCTTAGTACTGTAATAGCTGAAGCGAAATGGGGTTTAACGTGGCGTTCAAAATGGTTACATATGCATGTATATGTGTGTGCTTGTACTAGTCAGGTTTCATAGTAGCTAGCCCGTTCGCCCGCCTTAATATTGTTGGAATATTGCTAAAAACAGCGTAAAATCATACTCAATCACCAATCGACATATTTTGATGTTTAATACCGGTTTGTCATCTTCCAGATACACCATTCCACCGGAAGTAGCCATAATACACCACTTCCGGACATGCCCAGAGACTTGGTTAGACTGCCAAACGCGGGCGAGGATTGTTGACACAGACACACTGCGCTACCAGGAACAGATGGACTTCAGTGTCAAGACCGTCATGGGGGAACTTCTGGGCAAGGGAGTTAACTCAGCCTCCAGCTAATGAATCTCTCAAAAACCGTCCGATTATTGCCTTCACGGGTTAATATCAGGGGAAACTGATGACCGTTGACTGTTGCGGCCTGTGTAGGGACGGAACAGCGACAGGGAACCGGTTTAAAGATAACATACGCCACCATTCGGCTTATCCCGGAATGACACGAGTGGTCACGAAAGAGGAAACCGAATCTGACCGATGTGTGCTGACTGACCAGTGGACAAACAACGAGTACGCCCAGTACCCATAAACCTTCCGAGCTGTATCAGGATCCACAGATTTCATTACTGAATTTGTTGAGACCTGACTGACTTAACCGACCTCAAATTATGCCTCAAATTATGCGTGAACTTTTTCATCATTTGAGGCTAGCGGAAGTAGGCCGCACGGAATCGTTCGTATTGAAAAGATGTAATATCGATCCATTCATTGACTCGACACACACGATGCAGAGCTGTTATTGTGCTGTTTTCTGTCCAACGTTTTTATATCTTAATTGTATTTAAATGATACAAGTTTGGGTGTAATAACCTTTCTTTGACCTTGACATACTGCGCCAGAACGAGGCAAAGCTACAGTCGTGCCGACGTGCAATTTTCTGTTGACGAGTGTTTCGATATGCCCCTCCATTTTAGAGCAAGCCAGGCAACAATTCGATGTTGCGCTCACAACGCCCCCTGTGTACTTGTTTGACACAGACGCTAGTGTGTGGTGTATTTTCAAACGCTAAATGTCAACAATGTGTCCATAAAGGTTAACTGATTATTACTGTGGCCCATTAGGGACTTTGAAATCTTTTCGCAAAGTGTGTTTCGATTTACCTCCGTGTGTTACACGTTCTCGTTCGGAATTCTGCACGATTCAGACTTTGTTTCAGGAACCTTTCGAAACATACTACAAAACTACCGAAACATAATGAAAGGTTAAAACTTGAAAATTTGAAAGACAAATACCAAGAAAAAAACTAAATATTGATAACATCCCTTCAAAACCAAACAGGAAACACCGAGTGTTTATTGAAACGTCTAAAAGTTAGATGAGAATCACTCAAAATTTTACGAAAACCGCTGTAAATTTTTTTTAAATGTTTCACCAAAGACATGTATTTTCGTGATCCACAAGAGACCGTGTTCTCTCATACATAATGAGTCAATAGTATGAGACATGTATTGGGAGAGAAAGTTGTTGAGATGGTGTTGGGAGAAACAGTTGTTGAGATGGTGAGAAACAGTTGTTGAGATGATGTGAGAGACGGTTGTTGAGATGGTGTGAGAGTCAGTTGTTGAGATGGTGTTATGAGAGACAGTTAAGATGGTGTTGTGAGAGACACTTGTTGAGATGGTGTTGTGAGAAACAGTTGTTGAGATGGTGTTGTGAGAAACAGTTGTTGAGATGGTGTTGTGAGAAACAGTTAAGATGGTGTTGTGAGAGACACTTGTTGAGATGGTGTTGTGAGAAACAGTTGTTGAGATGGTGTTGTGAGAGCCAGTTGTTGAGATGGTGTTATGAGAGACAGTTAAGATGGTGTTGTGAGAGACACTTGTTGAGATGGTGTTGTGAGAAACAGTTGTTGAGATGGTGTTGTGAGAGCCAGTTGTTGAGATGGTGTTATGAGAGACAGTTAAGATGGTGTTGTGAGAAACAGTTGTTGAGATGGTGTTGTGAGAAACAGTTGTTGAGATGGTGTTATGAGAGACAGTTGTTGAGATAGTGTGGTGTTAGGGTGTCACAAAGGTGTACTATCAGATGGCATATTGACTTCTGTCCGTGTCAGTCAGGATGGTTTCCCCTGCTTCATAAGTATATGGACGTGTGGTGCAAGTGGGCTTCCAAAACTGTGACGAAGGTTTGGAATCGAACCAGGATCGCCAACAGGCAACACTTACTTGCCCAAGTACTTTGATAGAATCCAATAGTGAAATGAAGAGGAGGTTGGACGTCACTACCCCATGACGTTGTTTACCTCACGTTGTCGAGTAACCATGGTAACCGGAGGCGCCTACAGTATTCTTTTTTGTTCAACAAGAAATAAACACCGACAGTATTAAAATTCACAACCCCACTTTCTTGCTGATCCATATTATCCCAATGAAGGATTTTATTGGCGCTGTGGTCTTGATTGATGAAAAGATCGTGACAAGGAGATATTTTACTCCGATACGACACCTCTGTATAAAGACCCTGAGACTCCTCCAACGGAGGTCGCGTCAAGTGAACTTCCTTATCAGCCAATCAGAGCGTCGATGCCACTATATTGTCGGTACGAGTGAGCGAAGCATTCGGAACAGTACATCTGATTTCTATATCTCGAAAACGAACTAAACCGAGACGTTCCGAAAGTAGAAAACAGCAGCGGCCCTCTAAGTTTGTGTGTGGATATGTTATATACCCCGTCCTTTCTGTGCGACATAACGTCACCGCTGGGAGAAGGAGACAATAGAAGGAATATGTGTTGTGTGTGGACTTTCATTTTAAAAGTCAAAATTTTCGAATCGAGGGGGTGAGTAAAAGCTGACAGCTGATAGCGTACCCACTGAGCCTCAGTTGGACTCGGGATTCGCTCAGGATTCACCTGACGCGACTTTCAATGGAGGTGTCCTGGGAATTTAAATCAGGAGGATATCGATCGGAGTCGAAAACAGATTGTAATGAGATTGGTCTGTGAGTGAGTGAGTGGGAGTGCGGTAAGTTGGGTTACAACCAACTGTGGACAGGCTGTTTATACATTTCTGGATTGGCGAATAGTTTTAATAAATAAATGCGACAAAACCATTTCTATATTCATAACAAATCTCTGCTAAAAGAGTCGATTGTACGATGTCGACTATATCACGAGCATGTGATTATAAATAACTATCAAATAATGATGGTAGCAGGTGATGAAGCAATGCCTTTGTATAGTGTAGTCGTTTCTACGATTCCACTTGACATTATGCACCGGAAGTACTTCAATAACTAGAAAGTATGTTTGTTGTGCGGGATCATCAGGGTCCAAATGCAGGTCGGGCGGGACATGTTCACCATGCTCAACTCCGGAGTCATCCATGAAGATCCGGTATAGAATGGGGGTGTTTGGGTAGTTAGGCTAGGATGGAAACTTGACATTTATAGTCAGCTAACTCAGGTGACACATTCCAGCGTATGTAATATACATGATACATCTGATCCGGGGTAGAATAGGTCTTCAGCAACCCATGCTTGCCGTAAGAGGCGAAGATGCTTGTCGTAAGAGGCGACTAACGGGATCGGGTGGTCAGGCTCGCTGACTTGGTTGATGCATGTCATCTTATCCCAATTGCGTGGATCGATACCCATGATGTCAATTCCTGGATTGTCTGGTCCAGACTCGATTAGTTACAGACAGCTGTCATATAGCTGGAATATTGCTGAGTGCGGCGTTAAACGACAAACAAACACAAATGTAGAAGTAGTATTACCCGGTACATATCATAACAGTTAAATCTGCTTGGTTCACACATGGAGCACGCTATTATCCATATTTCCAATACCAGGCGTCCTGTAGGATGTGCCATAGTAAAACTTGCCGATGCCGATGTATATTATGTGATAATTCCATATGAGTGAGTGAGTCAGTCGTTTGTGCAGTTATTCGCGGCGAGCGAGCGAGTCAGGAAATGTTTCCCAAATATTATCAAAATGTATTTTTCTGTTTAGGGAAACTGAAATTTTGAAATCTACAATGCCAAGTCGATGCCAATTGTAATATAAAAAATAAATGAAATATGTCACTTTATACATATCACCATGAGTTGTGCTAATTTGTGTGAAAAGGAGGCCGGGAAGTTCGAGGGTCAGTGTGTCTTCACTGCATGTGTTGTACAGGGGAGATAACACTGAATGTGTTGTACAGGGGAGATAACACTGGGTGTGTTGTACAAGGGAGATAACACTGGGTGTGTTGTACAGGGCAGATAACACTGGGTGTGTTGTACAGGGGAGATAACACTAAATGTGTTTTACAGGGGAGATAACACTGGGTGTGTTGTACAGGGGAGATAACACTGGGTGTGTTGTACAGGGGAGATAACACTGGGTGTGTTGTACAGGGGAGATAACACTGGGTGTTTTGTACAGGGCAGATAACACTAAATGTGTTTTACAGGGGAGATAACACTGGGTGTGTTGTACAGGGCAGATAACACTAAATGTGTTTTACAGGGGAGATAACACTGGGTGTGTTGTACAGGGGAGATAACACTGGGTGTGTTGTACAGGGGAGATAACACTGGGTGTGTTGTACAGGGCTGATAACACTAAATGTGTTTTACAGGGGAGATATCACTGGGTGTGTTGTACAGGGCAGATAACACTAAATGTGTTGTACAGGGGAGATAACACTGGGTGTGTTGTACAGGGGAGATAACACTGGGTGTGTTGTACAGGGGAGATAACACTGCGTGTGTTGTATAGGGGAGATAACACTGGGTGTGTTGTACAGGGGAGATAACACTGGGTTTGATGTACAGGGGAGATAACACTGGGTGTGTTTTACAGGGGAGATAACACTGCGTGTGTTGTATAGGGGAGATAACACTGGGTGTGTTGTACAGGGGAGATAACACTGGGTTTGATGTACAGGGGAGATAACACTGGGTGTGTTTTACAGGGGAGATAACACTGGGTGTGTTGTACAGGGGAGATAACACTGCATGTGTTGTACAGGGGAGATAACACTGGGTGTGTTGTACAGGGGAGATAACACTGGGTGTGTTGTACAGGGGAGATAACACTGGGTGTGTTGTACAGGGGAGATGACACTGCATGTGTTGTACAGGGGAGATAACACTGGGTGTGTTGTACAGGGGAGATAACACTGGGTGTGTTGTACAGGGCAGATAACACTAAATGTGTTGTACAGGGGAGATAACACTGGGTGTGTTGTACAGGGGAGGTAACACTGGGTGTGTTGTACAGGGGAGATAACACTGCATGTGTTGTACAAGGGAGATAACACTGGGTGTGTTGTACAGGGGAGATAACACTGCATGTGTTGTACAAGGGAGATAACACTGGGTGTGTTGTACAAGGGAGATAACACTGAATGTATTGTACAGGACAGATAACAACGCATGTGTTGTACAGGGGAGATAACACTGGGTGTGTTGTACAGGGGAGATAACATTGAATGTATTGTACAGGACAGATAACAACGCATGTGTTCTATAGGGGAGATAACACTGAATGTATTGTACAGGGGAGATAACAACGCATGTGTTGTATAGGGCCCCGTTCCACAAGACGATCGTATTGTAGCGCAACGACAGTCGTTGGTCTAAGTTAAAGTATGCGAGTTGCGATAACCTTAACGCTACGATAATTTTGTGGAACGGACGCCTGAATTCTAAAGGTGGGCCGTTGTATGGTATCAAATTCATACGTTTCAACTTTTGACGTGGTTTAAGTATTATTCTGTTAAACTCAATTGGATTATGCCGTGGATCGTGTAGGTGTCAGCCTATTCACACTCAACAGTATAATTCTAAAAACGTTATAAATGGCAAGTAATAAATAAAATATTAAACTCGCTCCCGTGTAAAACCAATTTTATGAAACTCGTGAATAGCTTTCGCTCGTCAGATACAACTATTCACTCGTTTCATAAAATTGGTATTACACGGGAGCTCGTTTAGTATTCTTTATGTGCTGTATAGGGGAGATAACACTGCATATGTTGTACAGAGGAGATAACACTATATTGTAAAGGGCAGATAACACTGCAAATGTTGTACAGGGGAGACAACACTATGTATTGTAAAGGGGAGATGACAGAACGTGTTGTACAGGGGAGATAACAGTTACACTGACCAGATGGGTGGACATACCTGATCGATTTCACAGAGAAAGTAAGAAAGATGCTGTTTTAAGCAATAGTCCAGTAATATGACGAACGAGCATGGTATAATGCTGCTTTTAACAACTAGGCTACCCAAATGTATTAGAAAAGGTAATCTTTTACAGAGGTTTCAGTGAGTGAGTGAGTGAGTGAGTTGGGTTTAACGCTGCTTTTAACAGTATTCCAGTTATATCACGGCGTGTCAGCTTAATGTGGGAGGGGAGCCCGAAATGGTGCAAGTCTCAGACGTTTACCTCTTTGGTGAAACCCACGTGCACATGTATGGTGCGGACAAACCTAGAAACTTGTCGGGGCGAACCGGGATTGGAATCCACAATCATAGGTTCTGCACAGCGAATCGCGGCGCCTGGGCCAACCGTGCCCCCTACAGAGGTGATAGAAAGATGCGATGGGTTTTACATGAAAGAAGATCGGGTGATTGAATTCTGTTTTACGTGTCACTAATGTTTCTGATTATCAGGGTGCCTGTAACAAGTAGTTTGGACAAGATGAGGTAGTTTTCAGTTTATACACTCCTTGCACTTATATAACGATGTGCATGCTTAATGCTGCTGGTACTAGTGCGCCAGTTTAATAGTGCTGTCGTCACAAAACGAAGAATCGGTGTTACATTAAAATCAGATCATTTACTGTGTTCAGATGTGATAACACCTCCATACGCCGAAATCAGTTATCCGCTTTCTAAACGATGATTTCACTCACCACCACCTCGATTAGAAATTTTTGTTTTTAACAAAATAGAATCAACGCAGGACACGAAAATCTCCCGTTTGAGTGTACATCCCGTAGTCCCTGTCAGGAGTGCTCTTGAGCGGATATTGTCTTGATTGCTTTTCGTTTGAACACTGGTTTTATTTAAGGAAAGTCCAATGTGATATATCTTTGGTGATTCAGGACAACCCCACAGATTCCCCTGTGGTGCAGCCAAGCCAAGTCATCATCTGGGAGAATCATGGATTGGAGACGCCAAAAGATCCTGGCAGAGCATTGGCCTCCGTGGCCACAATGATCCTTTAACAGATCAAATAACGGAGGATTAATATCTACTTTTTATTACAGGGTAAGAATACAGAAAACTAAGTGATTACAATTGGCAGGTTAACTAAAGGTAAACATATGATGCGCACAGAACTAATCATCCACTGATCAGCTAATTCAGCGTTCAACGTAATCAGGACT